TGTCACCGTCTTGGATATCTACGGGGAGTTTAATAATGACTTTTGAACTAGTAGGAATTAGGGGAGACTGGGGCACCTTCGGCACTTTTTTTAGAGCTCTATATCTCAGTACTTATTCAACATATATAACAACTTTATGGCTGATTATTGTCCTCTGACACTTAATTATAAAAAACAGTACCAAAAATATATAAATGAATAGTATTAGTTAAAAGCTTTTACAGTTTTGTAAAAAAAGTCAAATTCGCCGAATGTGCCCCAACCCGGGGTAGCTTCGGCATTTGATGGGGCACATTCGGCATCATATTCATAGCCGGGCAATTGTCATCGCTATCAGTCTGGTTGAAATTCTGATCCTCTAAAGGCTCTATTTGGTTTTAATACGCCACAAAATTTTTGAATTATAGGACTTTATTTTATAGCGGCGGACGTTTACATCTCAAGGTCGCACACACCATCAGAAATAGGGGTTTTCCACCGCATTTTCACGTTTTCATCTTATATATGCAATTTCGAACCATATTAAAGGATTAGTTTTAAAGACAAATTCAAAAACATGTTAAGGAAATAATATTGCACAATCTGTATATGGCCGAATGTGCCCCACTTTAAAATGCCGAATGTACCCCGAATGTACTTTTTATAGTTTTTTTAATTTTTTTCGATCAGTTTTTTAAAAACATTATATTTGTAAATATTTCTATAATAATACACATCGTAGTTAACCACTTTTTAATAATATTGTCTTAAAAATTTAAAAAGTTTTATACACGAAATACTTACGAAATGGAATTGAAATATTACAGAAACATCTATAAAAATACAAAAACCTATGTATCTAAATAAGCTTATTAGCTAGAAATTTCAAACTTTGTGTCAGTTATTTATTTCGATATTCGATACCTATGTATCGAAACTAGTGATGTACGGTGAGACCTTCATATCGAAAACGCGATTGCCGAAGGTGCCCCGATGCCGAAGGTGCCCCAGTCTCCCCTATGTGTTTGTCTGAAGTAAAATTAGGTTTTATTTTTAGAACCAAGGTAGTCTCCGGTGTTGTCAAAGTTAAGTTGTGTAAATCTAGGTTAGCTTTTAGTTGTATTAGAGCGTCTATCCCGAGTAGTCCATCAAAATAGTTATGGAATCTAAATACTAGAAACGTTAAGTTCCCAGATTTCTTAAATTCCTTGAATATGGGAATAATATCCTTTTTGGTTATTTTATATTTGTTTAGAACTGTAGTAATAGTGATTGGTTGGCAATCGATAAATGATTTTTGTTCCGTATATTCCGGATTTATAAAAGATGCTGACGCACCAGTATCAATTAAAAATTTTAGTGATTTCCCATACGGAGAAGATATATTAATATATGGTAATGTGTTTCCATGTTTGTTTATTTCTACGTATCCGGTGGATTTTGGGAGGCTAATGTAAAAAAATTTTGTGAGTCGTCTATCATATCGTCATTGTTACCCTGTATTTCTTCATGATCGTTTGAGAGTTTATGTTGTACATTTCCTTGTTTTTCGGCTGAGAGAATTTTGGATTTTGTGCGCGGAATGTTGTATTGGTGTTCCTAGTTGTTGTAGATCTGAAGTTAGTGGGTCCCGAAACGACGTCCATTGGTTCCGGTCTACTTGAATGTGAAAATCTACTCATTCTAGAGTTTGAATCTGAATTTTGATATTTATTGAAATTATTATAATTATTATTTGGTCTGTAATTTCGGAAGTTAGCTCCTGAATTATTGAAATGTTTATTTTGGTAAGAGTACTTTACTTGTTTAAAGTATCCATTATTATAGGGTTGTTGACGAATATCTGTTTTCCTGAAGCTACGTCCAAAAGTGTTTCTTTTTTGATAGAAAATATTTTGTTCTTTTAGACAAAGTGACAAAGCTGATGGCAAAGAGTCAGGTCTCATTGCTCTAATTGTTGCTCCTAATGGTTCTTTTAATCCGGTGAGGAATGTGTTCAAACACATTTCTCCATAGAGGTCTTTTTTTGCTTTTATAACGCTTTGACCTTTTTCATGAATCAATACATTGTTGTGGAGTGTTGATTGTATTTCTCCAATTTTACTGTAAAATTTTTCAACATTCGCGAATTGTTTTAGATTATGCAAATCCTTAATAAGGGAAGTTTCGGTTCTCTTGTCCGAATAATGTAAGATCAAATTCTCTTTTATTTCATCCCAGACTAACGGTGTTCCGTGCATATTAAGTACTTCGTTTGCTTCTCCTTCTATTTGATTTCTTATAGCTCTTAACAAAATTTTAGAACAAGGTGTCCCATCAATATCCCTAAGGTGTAATAAAATTTCTTCGACATTATTAATGAATTCATATAGAAGCCGATGGTTTCCATCGAATCGTGGAAGGTCTTTAATAGAGTCGGGTATACGCAAAGAGTTGAAAACGTCCACACTATTTGCACTTGGAGTATTCATTATGGATGTATTATCAGAAGCCGGTATTTTATAGGGCAAATATGTTATTGAACTTTCTTCAGTTTTCGGCATTTAATTTTCAATCGCTAGAATCCTTTTCCTATTACTTTTTTTATATATGGTTTACTCTTATTTTTTTGTATATATATTCTGTGTATATATTATTTTCTTCTCATTCCTTTAATTTTTTTTTATATTTCCTTTATATTTTTCATAAATATTTTCTTTTCAATATATATATTCTTTTCTTTTTTTATATTTTGTATATTTCTTATATAATTGTCTATATTATTTTTTTCATTCTATATTTCCTTTATATTTTCCATAAATATTTTCTTTTCAATATATATCTTCTTTTTTTATATTTTGTATATTTCTTATATAATTTTCTATATCATTTTCTTTTCATTTTATATTTCCATAAATATTTTCTTTTTCCAATATATCTTCTTTTTTTTATATTTCTCTTATATTTTTATATCTTTTATTATTTATTTTATTATTGTTTTAATTGTGAAGATTATCTATGATATTCCCTCATAGATGTTTTATCTTGCTTTTTCTAAATCCTAACTATGATGTTCATTCATAGTTTTAAAGGATTCTTTTATTTATTTAATTATTTAATTTTTATTCTTTATTTAATTTAATTATTTAATTTAATTTTTATTCTTTATTTAATTTAGTTACGAAAAGTGTTCTTGTACTTACAGCCATGCCCAGAAATAGATGTGCACCATGATGATTACGATGTTGTCTGCCTATGAGGCGTTGAAACGCTACGACGTATAGGGTGTTTGTTCCACTTAAGGGTCCTTTTCAATATTCCACTTCCTTTTGTTTTTATGGATTTTTTTTTATATTTTCCTTGTCGATATTGAATTATCCTTTTTTCACTTCTTCATTTATTTATTTTTATCAAAAGGGTTTTTTTTTTTGTAGATTTTGAATGTAACTTTTCCTCTTTTTCACTTTTCACTTTTGTCATTTATTTTTTATCGAAAAACATTTTTATTTTATTATTTTTTTAGATTTTGAATGTAACTTTTCTCTTTTCACTTTTCACGTTTGTCATTAATTTATTTATTTTTTATCGAAAAACATTTTTATTTTATTATTTTTTTAGATTTTGAATGTAACTTTTCTCTTTTCACTTTTCACTTTTGTCATTAATTTATTTATTTTTATCAAAATGGTCCTTTTGTTTTATTTTTCTTTATAATTTTTCCTTTTTTATCGAGTCCTATACGCGCTAGGCAGGACTACCGACTGCGCCAGTTACGAGTTTGTTTCCATTGATTCAAATAAAAAAATTGACCCCCCAGAACTGAAAATTGGGAGGTACCGTTATATGGGGGCTATCAGAAAAAGTGGACCTATATTTATAATTTGATGTGGAGACATTTGGTATCCAATAAGAAACTATTGTACCAAATTTGAGCGAATTCGGTTGAAAACGCGTTCAAGTACCCCAAAATACTGAAAATTTAGGGGTACCCTTATATGAGAGCTATGCCTAAACGTGGACCGATATAGCCCATCATCGAACTTGACCTGCCTGCAGACAAAATTTTGCAAAATTTTAGCGTTCTATCTCAATTCGTTTAGACGCTAGATTGATTACAACAGACAGACGGACATGCTTAGATCGTCAATAAACAATTAAAACCGACCGGGGCGAAATTTAGCATCATAAAGTATCGAAAACAAACAAATGTCACGAAATAATGCAAAGGCTCAAAAAAAAAAACATCCGCAGAAAGCTAGAGTTACGTGGTAGTTGTGTAGGGTATAGTAAGTCGGCCTCGTCCAACTATACTGTTCCGCTCACTGGTTTTTTAATTTAATTTATACCCACCGTGCTATATTAATTTTATCATTCCCTTTGTAAGTCATCAAAATATTCATTTCCGAGCCTATAAAGTATATCTTGATTAGGGTAAAATTCTACCATAAATTCTAACAATTTTCAGTATTTTGGGGATTTTGAGCGTATTTGTCGACTGAGTTACGCTGATCAAGAATATATATACTTCATAGAGTCGGAAATGATTATTTCGATGCGTTACAAACGGAAAAACAAAACTAATATAACCTCCATACTATGGTGGAGGGTATAAAAAAGTAATATTTTTTCCATTATTGTTGGGAGTGTAACGACTAGTTCTATGCAGCAAACTATTTGGACAATATGTCCATCATTTTCAATATGTTTTAAAATAAAATTGTATACTTAAGGAAATAAATAGGTCATGTAATATAAGAGTTCCGCTCCACTTTGCACTTTTAAAGCTTAAGATTTCTTAGGAAATCTGTTAACATCTTGCATTCCAAAATGTAAATAGCAACCTACGTATAATACCGATTGTCGTCATTCTATCTTGTTTTGATTAGAACATTAAAAATATTAATTATGAATTAAAAAAAATAGGAACACCTGTTACCACAAATATTGAACACACAATAACAGAACAATTGAGGCAGTGTTTCTCAGTGACAAAATTAGAAATAAGTCATTCTACTTTTAACGCCGCACACACACAAGTAATAATGGAAACGTTTCTAATTTTAGTTTTATTTGTTTTCATTAACGGAATAGCTGGTAGTGATTACTGCGATAAGACACTCTGTCCATCGGGAACACATATTGCATGCGGACATAATGGTGTAAGTTTTTGAATTTGGGGCTTACAAATCAAAATTATAATATGTGAAAAATGTTCCGGATATCCATATTTCTGTAGATAATAAACATTTTGAAATTCTATCAAGTGACAGTAACTAGAGGTATTTAACTATTCCGCAAATTATATATTTATTAAGAATTCTTGCGACTGAATAATTATCGATTGACACAAAAGGGGCCTCCACTTTTGTGTCAGTTATCGAAAAATTGAATAAATGATCACACATGTTTTTTATTTAATCTTCTTTACAGGACTTTTCTTCAAAGTGTCCCAAAGATGCCGCCTTGATAAATTTCTCCACGCCGCTAATTTCCACCATCGTCAATGGATTTAATGCGAAACGAAATTTTATAGCCGGAGGTGGTCATCACAACCACAAACCTGCCTGTCGTATGGCCACAATGCAATGGGATCGAGAATTAGCCAATTTAGCCGAACTAAATGTACGGCAATGTGAAATGAAAAAGGACGCATGTCATAATACAAAAGCATATTCCAACTCAGGACAAAATTTAGCCTGGATGACGTATCAAAAGATAAAGAAACCAAATTATGAAAAACTAATTGAAAATTCTCTACAAATGTGGTACGATGAAGTGAATCAGTGTAAAATGGAATTTATTAAGAAATATCCACAACAACATACCGGAGCGTAAGTTTATATTAAATTATAAACAAATAAATTAATAATTGGTTAACATATTTTTTTCTCGCAGTGTAATTGAACATTTCACAGCCATGGTAGGTGATCGTAACAATCGAGTAGGTTGTGCGGCCTCCACATACTCAGTGTCTAATGAAGACTACAATGTATTTCTAATGGCATGTAATTTTGCCTACACGAATGTTATTGGCCAACCTGTCTACCAAGATTGTCCCAAATCTACACTGGAATGTAATACAGGAAGAAATTCAAAATATCCCCATTTGTGTTCAGAATCTGAAGAATTTAGTGTAAAATAAAAAATGATTTAAGGATAATCAATTATTGAAGAATTATTATCAAGTATACTTAAGAAGTTGTACTAAGAAGCTACATGTTTAGTACGTGCAAAACACAGCTGGTAGCGAGCAACACTTGGACAGGGATCCCTTACATCTATTACGTAGCATAGTCTGTTCAAGGCGATGACAACATTTAATGAAATCAATTAACAACAAACATGTAAAACCGCCCGGGGCGAAATTTAATATCATAACGTATCGAAAACAAGCAAATATCATGAAATGTTGCACAGGCTCGGAAAAAACATCCGCAGAAAACTAGAGTTCCGTGGTAGTTGTGTAGGATATAGTATAGTCGGCCTCGTCAGACTATACTGTTCCGCTCACTGGTTTTTATACCCTTCACCACATTGTGGTACAGGGTATTATGTCTTTGTGCATATGTTTGTAACCGGCAAAAGGAATCGGAATAGACCCATGGTTCCCTTTAAGAATATGCATAGAATAACTTTCTGATTCGATTCAGGCATGTCCGTCCGTCTGTTGATGTCAAATTATAAACAAAGTACAGGTCGCATTTATCATCCGATTTGGATGAAATTTGGCACAACTCATTTATTTGGTCCAAGGACGAAATTGAAATTGGGAAAAATCGGTTCAGATTTAGATATAGCTCCCATTTACAATTTTGTCTGATTTTGTGTAAATGATGCACCAAAGTCCCTATATATCTTTCGATTTACACGAAATATAGCACAGCGTATTGAATTAAGTCTGGAATGATGTGTGTTAAGTTTCGTGAAAATCGGTTCAGATTTAGATATAGCTCCCATATATATTTTAGAACGATAATGGTACGTCAAACTCCCTAAATATTTTTTCGATATGCACGAAATTTGGCACAGCGTACTAAATTGAGTCCATAGTAATGTGTGAAAAATAGGTTTCGTGAAAATAGGTTCAGATTTAGATATAGCTCCTATATATAGTTTCGTCCGATTTAAGGTACATGGTGCGTCAAAATCCTTAAATATTTTTCGATATGCACGAAATTTGGCATAGCGTACTGAATTGAGTCTATAATGATGTGTGCTAAGTTTCGTGGAAATCGGTTAAGATGTAGATATAGCTTCCATATATGTTTTCGTCCGATTTAATGTAAATGGTGAACCAAAGTCCCTATATATCTCTCGATTTGCACGAAGTTTTGTATAACGCACTGAATTAAGTCTATAATGATGTGTGCACAGTTTCGTGAATATCGGTTCAGTTTTAGAGGTAAATGGTGCGCCAAAGTCCCTAATATCTTTCGTTCAATTTCATGTCAATGTTTTTTCGAAAAGACGAAGTCTGTTAGGAGACTATGTAAAATATACCCAAAGTGGTAAAGGGTGTCATATAGTTGGCCCAGTCCGACTTTACTACTTTCTTTACTGGTTTAGTTTAATTTATGCCCTCCACCATATTATGGAGGCTATATTAATTTTATCATTCCGTTTGTTAGTCATCAAAATATTCATTTCCGAGCCTATAAAGTATATATACTCTTGATCAGGGTAAAATTCTACCAATTTTCAGTATTTTGAGGGTATTTGTAGACTGAGTTGGTTGTAATTTTGTACTTTGAGTTCTTATGGGGAAGCAAATCTCTCCACAAAAAAATATAAATATAGGTCCACTTTTTTCGGGTAGCCCACATATAAGTTTACTCTCCAATTTCGGTATTTTAGGGTTTTTATGCCCGTTTTTCAACCTAATTCGCTGTAATTCGGTATTTTGTAGTCGTATATGGTAACAAATCTCCCTACCCAAAATTATTAATATTCGCCCCCTTTTAGGGGTAGTTCCCATATAACCCACTTTTTATACCCTTCACCACACTGTGGTACAGGGTATTAGGTATTTATGCATATGTTTGTAACATGCAAAAGGAAATGAGATAGACACATGGTACCCCTTAACAATATACATAGAACTGCTTTCTGAGTCGATTAATGCATGTCCGTCTGTTGGTGTTAAATTGTAAACAAAGTACAAGATATAGCTCCCATATATAGTTTCGTCTGATTTTATATAAATGGTGAACCAAAGTCCCTAATTTTTGGCTTGGGGGCATTATTAATTAAATTTTTTATAAAAAGAAAAAGAAGAAATGATATATTGTAATTAAATTCCAATATCTTTGTAAAAATTTTTGTACGCCTGATAATCTTAGGCAATATCTACTATAGATTAAAAGATCTTAAAAGTAAGCCATGCTTTTGTATGTAACAAATTTTTGAATAATAAAATTGGCCTTGGGCAAAAACTGAAAAAAACCTAATTTTTGGCATAGTGTACTGAATTATGTGCAGAACGATGTGTGCTAAGTTTCGAGAAAATCGGTTCAGATTTATATATAGCTTCCATATATAGATTCGTCTGATTTTATGTAAATAGTGCAACAAAATCCCTATATATCTTTCGATTTGCACGAAATTTGGCGCAGCGTAATGAATGATGTCAAAAATGAGTTTCCTGAAAATCGGTTCAGATTTAGATATGGCTTCCATATATATTTTTGTCCGATTTAATGTAAATGGTGCACCACAGTCCCTATATATCTTTTGATTGGCGCGGAATTTGGCATAGCGTGCTGTATACAGTCTGGGATGATGTGTGTTAAGTTTCATGAAAATCGGTTCAGATTTAGTTATAGCTCCCATATATATTTTCGTCTGATTAAATGTAAATGGTGTACCAAAGTCCCTATATATCTTTCGATTTGCACAAAATTGGACATGGCGTACTGAATTAAGCCTAGAATAATGTGTAATAAGTTTCGTGGAAATCGGTTCAGAATCGGTTCTCCAATATATTTTTTCTTTCGATTTTAAGTAAATTGTGCACTAAAGACCCAAGGCTTAATACAAATTATTCTCTTGCAAGTCTCGTTAAAATCGTTTCAGATTTAGATACACATATGTGCACCAAGCTTCTCATGTTTATCAGATTTTTATCCAAATAATCAACAGGTGATATTTGCTTTAAGGGGATCACCCCCATTCTCGGTATCAAAAATTTTTTTGATTTAGTTCGAATCTACTCTGATATAGCCGATTTATTGTGTCAACATAGGGTGATGGAAAGAGTGATGCTCAAACTTTCAACGCGTTTTTCTCAATAATCCTAGTTCATACGAGAGCCAGTCATGTACTCTTTCTAACACCGTTGGCATTTTCGGATTCCGATGTTCCAGTGAGGAGTTATCATGCCCGCCATCAAAAATAAGGACTTTTCTTTAATCACAAAAAACAACAACACACATTTTTTGTAAATTATTTTTCTTCCTTTTCAAATCTTCAAATATATGTGCAAAGTTACAAACCTTAACAAGCATTTATATTCATTTACCAGCCCATTTAAAATCTTAAAAATAAACCAGTGAGCGGAACAGTATAGTCAGACGGGGCCGACCATATGATACCCTACACAACTACCACGGAACTCTAACTTTCTGCGGTTCTATATTCTGACACTGGACAATATTTCGTGATATTTGCACCCTCTTGATCGATTATAGGTCAACAGCTCAACTTTCTAACCCTGGCATATTTTCCATACTTTTTCTTGAAGTGAATTTTTACGCCATAAAATAAAAAACTTGTCACTTTATGCTTTGGTTGATTTGACCCTCGGAATATTAACCGATCATCATCTAAACAGCCGCTCTAAGTATTTGGTGACATCTCCTTCACCTTGTGAAACATGCGATGTTCTGCATATAATAATTGCCTCTAGAGCGACTCGAACATCTGACAAAATTCATTGCACCCCCTGAATGAAATATCAACTTCACCGAAAACTACAGGCGTCGTCCTTGCCCATAATCGGAACTTCTTTTACAATTTCAAAGCGATCAGCGCGACATTTCCGTCCTCTAATGGAGTAATAGTAATACTATGCACATAGTTTAATTTACCTTATTATGTATAACTCTCATACCTGAGCACATCCGACAATAGAATTTGTATCATTTTAAAGGTCAACCACTCCTCTAGGATATACTATCAACTTCTCGGGTATATGTCCTTCAGGAGTAAATATATTCGATATAGAATACAAATTTTGTCATTTCTCACACAAAAGTCAATGTCCATTTGGCCCGCTAAATATTGACCGATCTTTATCAAAACAGGCATGCTTATTCTTTCGCCCGATCCCCTTCTCCATGCAAATTCGCGATGTTTGGTCCATAATTGGGACCTCTGGAGCGACCAGAAAAACCAACAAAAATTAAGTATTTGGTCCATTTCATCCTCTAAATATTAACCGATATTTACCAAAAACAATAGGGATCGTCATTGGCCAGAACCCATCCTACATGCAAAATTTCGTGAAGATTGGTCCATAACTGTAGCCTGTATCGTGTTTACAATTTATAATGGACAGACGGACGGACACACATGTCTAGATCGATTCAGCTAGTCGAGATATGATGATCAGTATACTTAAAGGTGGGTCTAGGACCAATATTTCGCGGCGTTACAAACTTTTGGGGCTGCTCAAAGCTATAATACCCTGACAACATAGTTGTGTAGGGTATAAACATCGAGAATGGGGGGGGGGGGGTAATTCCCTTAAATTGATTTACATAATTTCGTCCCCATTTTGTAAGAAGTAACTATATATCTGACCAAATGATAAATTTAGTATAGGTTGCAATGACATGTTTATGTATCCAATTTCATTTTAATGGTCCTTCAAAAATGCGACGTCTGTTAGGATTCATCTGTTGAATATACCCAGAGTATCATATAGTCGGCCCGTCCGACTTTACTACTTTCCTTACAGGTTTATATTAAAATAGTTATCTGATTTATTCCGTGTGTTGGGGTTGTCCCCATATAGGCGTATTCTACCATAGTATGTTGGATATACGTTACAAGAAATTGTCAGTTTTTATCCTACAAAGTATGGAATTCTAAGCCGATTTAGGCATCTGTTGTAATCATTCCGCCTTCTAAGGATATCATGAT